CGCTAAGAGTTTCAAAGCTGACATTTCGAGTGTTAGCCCTTCGTCAGAGCGTTAGCCCTTCGCTATGACGAAGGGCTCACGATCGAAATGTCTGCTTTGAAACTCTTAACGGTGGCCAATTTACGTTATCAGCCCAGTTAATTCAACCAATTAATAAAGTTTCTTTAGTTTTGATTGAGGCAGGAAACGTGTGCTGTCCAGAAACGGAGATGGCTCTTTCTCTTTCTCTCTCTCTCTTAGGCAGCTCGGCTACATTATAATATGACACAGGGCTCTTTGAGAAAGTATGATCACGGAAATTTCAAGAAATTTATTTTCCAGACATATGAAAAGTACTGTTTGGGAAAATGAAAAGACGTGTGTAGTTTACTCCGTTCTGTAGTAAGCGCTTGATTAATGTGAGAAATTTTTCAAGTGTTAGCTGGGCTAGTTGAATTTCGTGATAGGGTAAATTAAGAGATGATTTTAAATAGTGATCAGATATTCTTAGGGTTCACTACAAAAAAAAAAAAAGAAAAAAAAAACTTAAATAGAAAGTTGCAAAATGTTTTCTTTTGCAGGCTATGCGTCTGCCAACTGTTACAAGTATTCGAATTCCTGAAGGATTCCCAGACTGGAAAGCTGTCCCGACTTATCTGATGAAAAAGTGAGTAAGATCAATTTTATTGTTACATTTATAAAAGAACTTATCAACTGGCTGTCAAAAGTGATGTAAGACCGCAGTCACTCTGGTTTTAGAAAACTTGTGTAACACTCTCCACCAATCAGATGTAAAATTTAAAGCAATCGCGGCATAGATACTTTCGTTTTCCAGCGCTTATGACAGAGCCCTTTTCACTGTTAGTTGTTGGTGCCTTTGTACGATATTTATTGTGAGAGACCGAAAAAAAAATCAAATCTTTTTTACTTTATGAGATGCGCTTAGTCGAAAAGCACTCGTAGATATTTTATCATAAGGGTGTTTTGCCGCCGGTCACTGAAGCCACCACCTTTCGCTGCAGAAACTGCTATATAACTCGGCTTGTATGGCCCACCTTTCCTTCGCAGCAGAAATGCGATAATTATACACCCCTATGGACGTTTTTGTTGATTCTTGCTGTTCTCTCTCTCTCTTTCTCTTTTTTTTTTTTTTCCTTTATTTATTTTTTTTCTCTCTCTCTTTCTTCAGACACAAGATTGAACTCGTCGGTGGCCTGGGCCCAACACTCGGAAAGGTTAGTGGAATATCGGCTTGATACTAGTAGCGTTTTAGAGAATCTAACAAAGAAATAAGCGAAATCGTTCTGCGTTTCGTTATCATCTATATATCATTTCAGCGTCAAAAAACAACATATTTTGCGTTACCTTTTTAACTACGTGTTCTTGTGCCATCTACAAATTATCTCAAGAAGGTAAATTTTAAACTAACTCTATTTTTCGTTTGTTTGTTTGTTTGTTTGATTTCATTTTTTAATTTTTCATTTTATCGAGGTATGGCGAGTAGGATTCATGGGACATAATTCATCCCTTGAAAATGTGGACAAGTTCTTGCGACTTTTCAAAGAGGCGCTGGAAGCTGTGAAAAATCGCCCAAAATCTCAGATTTAGAAAAGATATTTGCGAAGCAAAGAATTTTAGCCGGTGTGGCTATAAATGCCGGGAAAAATAGTCAAGGCAGAATTGAAATGTTTTGAAATGGGAATTTTATAGCTATTTATCAACTGTCACATGAAAAGAGTCTCTAGGTTAGAAAAGTGTAAAAGCATTTATTAAACTCTGTACTTGAGCTCATTTGGTCTCTCGTTAATACATTACTGCGTCTAGTCAGAGCCTTAGCGAAATGCCATCTTTGCAGAATGGAAGCTAATATGTAAGACCCCATCTAGACTGGGCTGAACATGCTTAAAAACGCAAGTTAAGTCTTCCTTATACTTTAGAAAGAAAAACGTACTGTTCGGATCCAGTGTAAAGGTCTGGGGGGTCTAGACCCATTCCGATCAGACTTGTTGGTGATTTACCATTTGCCTATCACCAAAATTCTTGCAACGATAAGATCACGTATATGACTTCACGATCACTTTACTGTAACCTCAAATGAAGAGGAGGCGGAGGAAGGTGGGACGGGGGAACGTGGGTTGGTTGAGAGATATTTGCCGAAAAAAAATTGTTCTGTTTCCTCGTTCAAGTAAATAGCAGTTGATAGCAGATTTGTTTCTCTGTCTAACTGTCGTGATTATTTTGCTCTTATTTTATGACGCTCAATCGAAATGATTTCAAATTATTACATATTATTACTATGTTTTCTAAATGTTTCCCCATTCGTCCCGGTTCCCTGTATCATTTATCTGTCAATCAAGGGCATTTTTTTACTATTTTTGTTAAGACTTTTCTGAAACGCGCTCAAAGGCTTTGAATTGCGACTAATTTTGATTAGACTTTCGGATTGGACGTATCAATACAAACTCAGACGGGAGGACTTTTGTTTTTCAATATTACCATTTAGATTAAACAAATGAATTGCTTCGGCTCAAGGCCTCAAAACATTAACAATCAAGTGTATTTCAATTTGAGAATACCTTGGCCGGCTTCACAGTCTTGTTTATTACGTTCTTCAAAAATTCATTTTTAACCTTGAAGGCCATAATGTTACTTGTAACCGAATCTTTTCCTGGGAACTGAAATTTAAGGCTCTGTTTTTGCAAAAGATGCCTGATCGTTCTGTTTTTATGATCAATTACCTTCAACCAGCTTTGTTTTTGTTTTTGAGGTGCGTGGGAAGCCGAAATTGGCAAGATAAGCGGGGGCATATATTTCAAAACTGTCTCGTTTATTGCACTACTCCTTCAGACTTCTGACACCGTTATCAGATTAGAAACGTCAAGAATAGATAACACAGTGAAATATTATCGCCTTGTCACTTCCCATCTGCAAGGGGCCAATAACATCTGAAAGGTAAGAAACCCCATTGGAGATTCTTATTAAAAGTTCTAAAAATGTATATGAATCAAAATTGATGAAATGAGAGCAGCTTATCGCGACTTATTCAAAACCTTAAAGTGAATATACAATGGGTTTCGGGGGAAGTTTTACGAAGCACACAGGATTCCCCTTTGTCCATGCTAAAGAGAGAAAAAATGATTAAAAGACACTCAGTGAAAAAAATTAAACAAAAAAATGCAGACTGTAACCATAGCTTTTCTGCATGATTTTACGCAGTCAAGTTACATATCACATTATCACATAAGAAATCGATCCTTGAGGGTTTGTTCAATCACTAGTGACTTACGCATCTTGTGCAAACTAATTCCACCCTGGACGATCTCCTTTTCTATCTCCTCACAAATACTTCCTCTTCTTGATAGAACATCACTAAAAGAATTTCGATAACCTTCGGGCACGCTATCCAAACTCCTTCCACAGTCAAGCTCTGTTCTATCGTTCTTCTCTTGGGATTCGGAACTTTGGCTGCAAGGCGAATCGCTTTGCCGGCTTCCTTGCAGCACCGCGTCATCCATTGATCTCTCAGACTTTAGAACTCTGTTTTTCCTCGTCGGTGTGTCGTGGTTCATGCTTATCCATCTTTGTTTAGAAAGCTTCAGACTTCCTTTAAATAATCGTCTTTTTTGGTTCGCGGAATTGCTCTGATTGCTCGATCTTTCATTGTTAACCTTTGTATGTGGAAACGCCGTCTCTTTCTCAATATCTTCGCTCTCGCCTGAACAAGTTCCAAACATTGATGTTTCATAATTTTGTTCCTCTCGACGAGAGTCCTCGTCTGGGTCCATATTCTAAAAACTACGCCTCTGTGTATTGCTACAAATGATTTTTCTTGATTTCGCGACAGCGTAGCTTTACGCGGTTACCCATACATTACCGAGTTAAAATTGGCTTCACAGTATTCCTTATCTAACCGACAAACCACAGAGATATCAGCGTTAACTATTAGTGAAACAATTATGGTATAGACAATCCTTTCAACTTTTTTCAGTCCTTACCGCCCCTCGACATCATGGCGCTTTTTGCCCTACTTTGCCTCTTGTTTTGTTTATTTATTTTAATTAATTCTTAATTCGTGGTCGGTTTTTAATTTTGCATCGAGTAAAGCACAGAGACTTCATCAAAATTCCATTTTGAAATATTTGATAGCATCTCATCCAATAATTCAAATAAAAATCGATTGCTTAAAAGCATGTGCGTGACTTCAAGTCTGGATACATGTCAATTTTGGTCTTCTTTTTACACTATTTGGCAAGAGCAATTAGTGCTGAAAACTGCAGTATCTCACTTTTCACGCATGTTATCGCTTTTAAATTCACCAGAATTCGCCAGAATATATGAAACCTCTTCTTCAGTCATCCATTTGCTTCTGAATACGCAGTACTAGTTATCATAGAGTGGAAATGATTAATTTACAATCTCCAGCTGCTGTGCCATGTCGTTTCTTTCTCTTATATAACTGACTAAAAAAGCCAGTGCAAAAAAAAGCTACAATCACAGTTAAATTCGTGATTAACAAAACGTGGCGATCAACACGAATCATCGATGATTAAAAGTATTAATTCAAATTTAATGGTTCTGTGAAAGTCAAAACACTCATATTAATTAGGATTGACGAAAAAACAGAATAGCGGTAATAATAATGATAATACCACCAAAATAATAATAATGACAATAATAATAATAATGATGATGATGAACGTGGAGAAAGAATATCATGAAGGTCTCTCAATGAATCGAGAGATAGGAAATATAGCTCTAAGATAGACAGCTAATTATACCCATCGTGACATGTTATAATTGTAAAACCGCCACTACGTGACATTCTTATGATCATCAGTTTTATTCACAAGTCTTCCTCATATTTGCATCGTTTGTGATACCTGGGATTAAAACTGTGAGGCAAAACACATTACCTAGGTGGTATACAATTCAAGGGTAATGATAAAAGGGAAAAAAAGGAAAAAAATGTTAGAAAAAGGAAGCCTATGTAAATCAGTTGTTTCAACAAGCACAAGGTACCTAGAACAGCCTGAGGTGGGCCTGGAGGAGCGTCGATCGAGGAGCCTCGAGGGGCAAGGACTTGAAAAACGCAAGAGAAAAGGTACTTTAGGAGAAACTCCACACAATTGCGCTTTGAAGGTTTAGTAATCCCTTGTCTTATCTCTTCTCAGAAGTCTCCCTTCCTTTTTGTTATTATCAATATTTTTTTAATTACTCTTTTCCTCTACCCACGCGAAACATTTGTGATTTTCTGGTATTAATACTCAGAACTCATCAAGGTAAGCTACTAACCGAGAATTCTATCACAAAAAATATAGCAGAGTTAATTTGCTTCACAATATATGTCCTTTGGAGGCCCGATGAAGGCATGTGTGTCGATGGATGAGAATTCCCCTGCTGCCGTTGTTGATGTCGTTTTTCTCCTAACCCTTTGGCCGCTAAGAGTGACTAACATCTTATTTCTCCCTATAATAACACTCCTAAATTACACATTAAGGTCACGAGAAAATAAGGAAATGACCACCAGCTTAAGAGGCTCTTGATTGTTGAACAAATTCTCTTTGTCAGCACTTTAGGAAATGTATAGAGAACAGTATGGAGAATACAGAGACTGATGTTGGGGTGTAAAGGGTGAAAAGCCAAACTTCACAAGCCCCTCAAAAACATTTTCGTTAGGATACTTCAAAAGAGGGCCGCAAAATCAAAAGAAGATCAAAGCTAAAAAATACAGCAAACGTGAAACCTTTATTATCGAAACTTCCCGAATAGAGCAGTACAAAAGATACCCACCCAGGGTCGGCCAAGTCAGAGTGAATACGGCGTGAAACGTTCCATTTCACAATCAAGAATTGTGTAGATACTTATAACTTAGTTTTCAATTAAGCGAGCTCTACTGTTAGATAAAGAGGGATGGTTTAAAGGCAAAGCACTAATTTCCTTGGCTTAACCTCTCACAACGAATATAGCAGGACGCGAGCAGGATGCGCTGTCTTCACCCGCGGGAATATCTGAGACAAGCTGAGTCGAGGAGACATTTGCGGGGGGTCTGGCACTAATAATAATTAGACCCCCTGTAAACCTCTAGTCAAGCGAGCGAAGACACTATCTACCTAGAATTGCTTCCAGAAGTTTTTGTTTCAGAATGGTAAACCCTCAAGAGAAAAACTAACGAAATTTTATATTACTAAGTCCTTGAATAATATTTAATACAAGGTTGTTAATATTAAGGAAGGGGATTTCTAGGGTGTAACTAAATCCCAGCCTTATCAGGATGAAAAAGGCATAAATATACATTATTATTACCCACTGTAAAATTGAAATCCCTTGCTTAACATTCCTCCCGCATTGAAAATATATATCAATAGGCTTTATATTACGTTGAAAATACATTTAAATATACACTCGCCACTCATGATCACAAATACACATTTACACCAACTTTTCCGAAATACTTTACGTTCGGTTGCATACGTTAATTAATCGGATGAGACAGGACATTTCACATCGAACAATATTCTAAAAATAATCTTTTGAATTATCATTGGTTAATTCCGTAGACGTGGATCTATCTCTAATTTGATCAATAAGATTTTCAGTTCTACACTTTAACTGATTACTTTAGTTTATTACTATTGCTCAGGTGAGTATTGAGATGCGCGCGCTCTGATTAGTCGAGGATAGTGTAATATCTCGCCATAATCACCCCGCCCGAAGTGATTATAAAAAGGGCGCTAAGTTTCATGATGTCTGCCTCGCGTTTTGTCAATGTTTCTGAGAAGGTGATAAACGCAATGGAACAAAATCTATTGCGAAGAGCACAAATTATACTATTAAGTTTGGCCGTACCCTTTTCAAAAGAAATGTATGAATTTTTTTGGTGACTGAATAAAATAAACCTGCTAAAACTCCTTGCTTATCTTGATACAACTATTCACCACAATTGTAATAAAATATGCGTAATGCTTACTTTATCTACAGAAAATACAACAGAATTCGAAAGCACCTGAGTAATTACTGAAAATACTAAAAAGAAAATTCGCCTCAGGTTCAGTGAACACTGTTGAATAATTTCCTCGACTTCGTCTCGGGGATTATTCAATAATATTCACTTCGCCTTTGGCGAATTATAAATAAATATTTTTCCTCATCTCAACTTCATTTCTTGATTGTTCTTTATAGCTTTGTTGCAAATTCGACGGGAGTTTGGGCCCGTCTTCTTGCACGTTCAATTTCCAGTAACCAGTTTTCATTAGCTGTTCTTTACTGAATCTATTGCTTCTTTAAATAACCGTAAGAACAGGTCAACATTCTCCTTGTACGAATTATGTCCCATAAATCCTACACGCCACACCTTAAAAAAAAACAAAAAACAGAGGAAAATGAGAGATAACAATACACATCCAACTGGGGCCAGAACAGGTTTTTAAAAGTCCCGCACTGCCGGCTGCGTACTAGTATTTGACAGCATACTGAGTTGTATTACTTCTATTAATTACAACTTTTTCATGAAAGGCAGGGGGTGGGGTGGGGGTGGGGTGTAACGTGTAACTTCCACCCCCTTGACTAACCTACCCTATGCACAAAGACGTTTACACCACCAATAATGCAAGATCTGTTGAGGCGTTCCAAAAGCTAGGGAGTAAACTGGACTTATAAAATAGCCTGAATAGCAGGCGTGATCTTGAGGGGAGATCAGTTTGTTACACCTATTTTATCTCTACCCAAATTAAAAATCCATTCCTCTTTGCTTAATTTTCTAGTGTAGATATTGTAAAAACGAAGAGGGATGTTAATTCTCTCTCCCCACCTCCCTCCTTCTTACATGCATCAACGGAACGATTTATCATTATTGTTAATCATCATTATTCATCGTCAGGACGGTTCTCCCTGTCTGCCACACCTCAGACCCTAAATGAACTGGGATTTTTGAAGCATAATGGCACAGCGAGGAGATACCTTTAAGAAAATCCAGCAAAAATCGATAAAAGATTTACGGTTCGAACAAATCCGTATCATTGCTCGTGCAACTCGGTTACTAACCTTTCCGACTGTTGGACCCATACCACCAACAATTTCTAACTTGTACCTGAGGAGGAGGAGGGAAAAAAGAAGTTTTCTGATTAGCACTAAATTTTACTGCAGGCTTAAAAGGATGCAAACAGGCTTTCTTGCAAGAACAGAGGGAAATAGTTATGAACAGATTATCTATTGATAAAGTCGGTCACTAAAGGTTTCTCACTCGTTGACAGACATGGAACTCCTAAAGTTAGTCAGCGGTATTTCTCTACTTGAAATCAAGATGGCGACTGTGAGAGGAAACGTTCATTAAGGATAGAGCGTAATTTTAGGTGCACGTAACTCATTTATGAATGCATGGATACAAACAGACTTTCGCGCAAGAACAGAAGGAGATAGCTATACAAAGATAAATTGGTAAGCATGCCATAATTTGCATGTACACACAGAGAATGGGGAGCCAAGCTTGTTTTGCTACAATTGTTTGTGTTTTTGCCTACTTTTTCATAAGATAATCTGGAACAGCTTTCCAATCTGGAAATCCTTCAGGGACTTTTACACTCGTCACTGTTGGAAGACGAAGGGCCTAGAAAGATATCAAGATTATTAACATTGTAGAAATAGTTATTTTTTTACTTTTACAATACAAATTCACAAGTCAAGTACAATTATTACAAGAAAGGAAATTGTTTCGATCTCTGTGGAAACATGCTATCGATGCGATCAAATATATAGAAAAAGGTAACTATCTAGAATAATTTTGAGTAAACATCTTAATATGTAATCATTAGCAATAGAAAATACTGAATTTTACTGATGTACATTTCATTGGGTAAAAATTAAATGAAAAATTCACCTTGTCTTTGACAAACATCTCTAAGCCCATCTTTTCAATTCCAGCCCAGAGGTGTTCAATTGTATCATTATGCCGTTTCCATGAATTTTCAATTCCCTGATAAAGGAAATAAAGTCGGTAGTTACATATTGATTCCGTACTTGTTTTTCAGTGTGATACAATAATGGAAGTTAGTGCAGTAATGTTCCCTTTGGAACAGCATGGGTTCATGATATATGTATATATCTTATTGGACCAGTTCTAGGGCTTTTCTAGGAGATATTAACCCCTCTGCTATACCTTTGTACAGACAAACTATAGCTCAGACTACTGTTAATGTTCTTTTTCAGTAATTAAATAGAAGGTATACCTCTGCTGCAAGCAAAGCCAAACTTTCTCTTAATGCATAAACCAAGTTTATTGCTGCTGTGTGATGATACCTACAAACAATCAATGACACTTGAACATTGGAATACTTTTATTTTTTGGAAGATGTCATGGTTACTCAAATTCAAGGGGGTTTTTTGTGTAATTTGCTCTTTGAAATACCATTGTGAGCAGCAACAGAAAGGGTAGAGTTGCATGCACGATGTTCCATGCTGAACAAAGTTAATAACTAGTTAATACAAACTAGTTATGGTAATTTTGAATAGATGTAAAAATTTTACCTAAAGAAGGAAAATTCATTACACAATAAAACTAATTTACTGAAGCCAATCATACATACAAAAGGCAGAGGCACATGATTGCCTTAGTTACATGTGTTTAAACCCATGTCTGACTTAAAAAAAAAAATTTGAAGGGTAATATGGTTTTCCTTGTTAATTGTACTTTTGTTTTCTATGCAATAAAATAAGAGTGAAATATGAAAATATTTAACTATTGAAAATGCATAAAACAAGTATTTACCTCCTTGGTCCATCATCACAGCCCCAGTAGTTTCCAAGTTCATTAATGTCCAGGTAGAAAGATGGAACTTTAGTTTTCCGGCTGTTTACTTTTGCCCTGAAAATGAAAACAAAAAAGATTGTGTGTTGAATGTATGTACACTAAGAAGTACATACAGATGTTGGGATGAGTGTTTTGGTTAATCTCCTTTATTGTTTGGGCCCTTTGGACAACACTCTTAACCCATTACACCCCAACATTAAGTATACATATTCTCCATACTGTTAAATCCAAACATTTCTTAAGGTACTGACAAGGAGAATTTGTTTAACAATCAAAGAGCTTCTTAGTTAGTGATCATTTGCTTAATTCTCATGAACTTAATGTGTGATTTGGGTGTGATACTGTAAGGAGAAATAAGATCCTTGTAACTCAGGGATCAAAGGGTGAAGGATTAGTGTGGTGGATGATGGCTACAAGGAGATGGTAAGCTTCAAGCTTTTTGTGTTGCATCTAGATAGAGTTAGGAAGGAGTAAAATAATTCTAACCTTTTCGCAAAAGCTGATTTGACACAGAGGACATTCCTCTGTAGTCTAAAAGCAAGGAGGTACATGTGTACAAATGAAACTATCTCTTCAAATTAAAGTTACATGCTTTTTTTTCTCATGCTCTATGAACTTACAAGTTCCTGAAAGTCTGCCTCAGAGAAACTGAAAGAGTTGAAACCAAAGTACTTAAATTTTGTAGAAGAGTCTTCTCAAAAAATAGAAATACATGATCACTTACATGGCTCTAGGGCTAAATGTGATTGGTGAAATTCCTGGAGGTGCACCTAGGCACTTTTGAGAGCCTGTATAGACACAGTCCAGATCCCATCCATCAGTGAGGAAAGGTGTTCCACCAAGAGATGCTACTGTGTCCACAATTATCAAGCAATTATGTCTATAATTGTACAGATAGGAAGATGAGTGGTCAAAAGAGAGAATTGCAAAAAGGTTATTCTGTATATTATAAACTGAAAAGTTTACTACTCAAAATAAAGAAAAAAAAAAAGGAAAAAAAACAGAATTTAAAAAATACTGTTATTAATAATACAGTGAGCTGCAAGTACTTGTGCATAGATGAATTTTCAGAATAGAGCATGTAGTAAAAGTAAAAATAATTATTGCTTTGTTCTAAAAGAGTTTTAACATACTATTAGCTAATTTGTTTGGAATTTAAGAATTAAGTAAGATGATGGAGATCCTCTTACTTATGGCACAAATCTCCAATGCCCTCCAGTGGCTGACAGATCCCTGAAGAAGACTCACTATGGACTATAAAAAGGACAGATGGCTTGTGCTCTTTAAGACCCTTTAAAGAAGAAAAATAATATGTTTTTTTAAGAAATAAATAAGTGAGCTTTTGATTTGGGAATGAAAAGCATCCTTTTATTATCAAAGCTTTCAATAGGATTGAAGAAGGTCTCTAGTCAACTTTAAATATGGATACCACTTAGATAAATGATGTAGAAATAAAGAGTAGAGCGTGTAGAATGTAAAGCGGCCATGCATCCCAAAATAATCACTAATCAATGGCTGGTACTACTTTCTTGAGAACCCAGTTAATGTGAAGTAATTTATTGTAAAATGAATAATAGTTATATTTGCTGTTTTGAGAATTGCAAAGTATTATGGATTACACTTGCATATACTGAAATTTTAGTTATGAATAGTTATGAAATCAGGATATTTTACCTGTTCAATCTCTTCTTTAGTATAGTAGTCTCCTGGTGATTTTTCTAGAACACGTACATCACATCCTTTGGAAACAAACACTTTGTCACTTAACAAATTAGGTTTATTGAATTTGCCTCAAGCAATAGTTGCGTTTTTGAACAGTGCACATGATATGGCATCTAAAGTGAGTTCATGATGTTAATGACGATCAAGATGTGAGTATTGACATATTTCTGGTTGAAACTTCTCAACATCTGAAAAAAGCAGAGAAAACAACTGCTGGAAATGTTAATGTAATTGCAGGCTAGATACGGATTGCTGTGATTACAACTTTTTATCATTATTGTCAAAATTGTCATTTACTTAGTTTTGACTGTGAAAGTTAATTTTTGGAGTTGTGTATTTGCTGAGTCATGGAAATGTGTATCTTCAGTTGGTCATTTAAAATTGTTTCATTTATCAACTGATAAGCTGACTTAAAATGCGCAATGTTATTAAAAGAATTAAGTTGCTGGCCAGTTGTATATTTTCTTTTTACTCTTAGATGGCTGCAACAATATCTTTAGTTATTTTTGATACACTCCATTGGTAATAGGATAAATACAAATTACTATTTTTAGAATCTGAAAAAGAAATAAAATTGATACTGTAGCCTTGACAAATGGTTGTTATTGTAACCAAACTGAATTACCATCATGTTCCCATAGAATCTATCAAGGTAAAATTGTGAAGTTCAAACAATATTCTTGATGAATTATTATTGTCATAGAAACCTGCTGACATTTACTTGTGGGAAGGGTAGGGTAGATGTATCCTTTGCAATGTTTGCATCTTTTTTATCTATTTTTAGAACTCTGCTTCTTGTTTTATAAATTATCTGTATCTCCTTAAATGGGACAAAAGGTTTACTTAAAGACGAAAATGTGAAATTAATTGAAAATGAATTTAACTATTTAAGTCAAAAGTAAACTAAATAACACTCTAACCACTTAGATGTATAACACAGTTGGATATATTTAAACAAAGACCAGATTACTCACATAACGTGTCACAACTAAGACCGCAGATTAGAACTCAGATTTTTCATCAGACGCCTCTGTAGCAGCATTAACAACAAGAGCGCAAAAAAAAAATGATAATAATAACAATAAAAAAAAACAAAAACAATTCTTTTGAAATTTAAACGAAGAAGGAATGCGACTGGACTTTAACCGGTGTCATACATGATTAAGATTCAGAAAAAAAAAAACTTTTTTATTTCACCTTGCCTCTCGGCGATTTCTTGTGCCCTGGCACCCCACATCCCGTTGTTGCAAACCAGAATGCGTTCTCCGCGTTCTACCAGGTTCATGATCGAAGCTTCCATTGCAGCATGTCCCGCACCAGTGATTGCCAACGTGTACTTGTTGTTTGTTTGAAATACGTACTTCAGACCAGCCTTTGTCTCATCCATAACATGATGAAAATCAGACTGTAAATGGCCAAGAAGTGACATGGCAGACGCATTATAAATTCTCATGGATGGATTCGATGGGCCTGGTCCGAAAAGAAGTTTCGTGGGAACTGACAGAGGGACGAAAAGTTGTTCTGGAGGGGGAATGTTCGGCTTCAGTTCGGTCAACTTTGTGGTAGATGTTGAGACTGCTCTCAGTTCGAGGCGGAGAGGTCCGCGAACGGCTACCCCAACAAGACGAGAAAATTTCGCCGCGCTCATATTTTTTCCTTCCCCAGGAAATGTGTAGCCGCTCTGTAGTACGTGTGCTATGTAAATTGTAGTAGTAATACCGGTTGGATTGTTTATAAACAGAGTGACACGTGATCAAAAAGGCGACAAATGCTCGTTTGCATCATAGAAAACCAGACGAGCAAGTTTTACTTTTTCACACACGGCAGCTCGTCACGTAAATTGAAAAAAAATATTTTCATTTCCGCACCAAACATAGATTGTTAAGATAATAATTACACAAGTAGGATTACATATACGATTTCTATGAAACTTCCCCGTTATTCAAGGGCCATGAACTTTGCCGTCGAAACTAATTTTGTGTTCTCACAAAAAAGAAAAAGGAATTAAAAAAACATGTTCAAATGACATCACAGAAGCCGACGTGGGCGTGTTGGAGGTGTGTACTTATGCACGAATAAACTCTTCGGGTAAACAATATTTTGAATTTCTTTGTGGGGAAGCGATTGAAATTACTAGATATTAAAATCACCATTCTTTATTGGAAGAAAGTAATGTTAAAAAAGGAATAAGAAATATTTCATTTCAAAACAATTCACGATTTGTCACGCGAGTTTACAGTCATATTAAGCTCGGAGAGGCAAATATCTGTGCGCGAGCATTCAATTACGCATTTCCCGCAAATGTTGCTGCGTCACTTCCTGTGTTAAGCCTTGAACCTTTGTGATTTGGATAAGAGCCACGTTTGTTCTTATTCTAGCGAGCCTTCAAAATTCTTCATCTCTTTTTTCGCACATTTTGGCTCGGAAGAATTTTGTTTTGCGACAAACACCGGGTTCAAATCAGAATGATATGTTACAGCTTCCCATTTCATTTCAATTTTTAACATGGACCATTAGCGGTTTCTCACATTTCAAAATAACACGATAATTGCCCAGTGTGTCTAGAAAATGGTTTAGCTCGACTTGGGTTTCTAGAGATAGTGTCAACCGTTTGCCAAGGTCTGTCTGGACAATACAATGTTTGTCATAAGGATATTTTGGAAAAAGTAAGGTGAAAAAGAAGCAGCAAACGGATCCTTAATTAATCGCCAGGAATGATAATTATCTTAAAGCCAAGAGTTACCCCAAGAGTAAAACACCAAATTTCCAGATGGCCACTTTCAAGTGAATAATTCAGAAATTTTTATCACTTTGTTGGGTGTTGTGGCACCTATTACAGGCTTAAGTGGAAATGTAGGCAAGCTAAACTGGAGATTTTGATAGGATAAAATGTATATTAACCTGTTTGCGTGATTGTTCAGACTGTTTCGTGATCACCTTTTTCAGCTCTTATTTTCTCAATGCCCTCCTAAATTGACAAATGACAGCAATGGCCTTAGTTATGTGAATACTATAATAAAACAATAGAGTTTATGTTCTTGAGTATGAAGAGTCCATTTTAACCCACACCAAATGGTTGTGCTGAAATGACAGTGAGTTGGGCTTAAAACATATCTATGCCCAGAAACATTAACTCTACCGTTTTAAGAAAGGTTTTTGCACTACAAAGGCAGCTGCTGTCATTTTGGCTCTAATGGCACTAAGTTTTGGTATTAGCTCCCTACGAGGCACAACTTATACAACAATGCAACATTTATACAACAATATTTGAGTTCCACACAATTACAGTTAAAAGATACATTTTTTGCAAAATGGTTTTACTGACATAGCTAAAGACTATTTTAATGCTAAAATGAACAAGTAGATTATTCAATGCAGCATTTGTTCTTTTTCATGGTCTGCTTGTGCAAAATACTTAATCTAATTGTGTTTTGCTACAAACAAAATTTTGTTGACATGTAGTTGCATCTATGCTGAGCTCCATGCTAATGATTGCTATTCAATATAAGTCATGTACCTGTTCATTTGTTTTGCTTCAGTTCCTTGCCATCTTAGATGTTCAATCTTTGATAACATTCACATCAAGAGTAATGCTACTATTTACACAAGATGCTGAAATTAGAATTTCTTGTCCAACTTCCACAGCTACTTCCTCTTTCAAAACAATAGCCGCTTGCCTCCAATGTGATTCAGCATAATCTCCACTATATGTTGAAAGTGAGTGTTGATTGCCAATGTGCAGAGCAAACCAGTAGGGAATGGCTTGAATCCTCCCTGACTTGGAAACTTTTACTTTTTTCTCAGAGTGAGTTTCAAGTAAAGAAAGTACCTTATTTTCCTCATCAAACTGCTCCATGAAATTTATGCTAAAAAGTTCAATATGGTTGGTGATGCTTGAGAAAGGAAGAGTTGTAAGGTCAATATCTATCTGAGTGGTTACTTGAAAATCATTCAGAAACTGGCCAATCTCAAGCCCAAGTGTTCTGTCCTGGTCAAGTACACGACAATTGGCAAACAGGAAAGAAGATTCAATGCACATGCAGTACACAGTGAATCCCATAGGAATAGTTTGAAAATTTTGTGGTCTGAGCAGACATCCTCTTGAAAAGACAATGTCTTCAATAACTTGCTGACGAATGATGCCTGATGGCTCTACAATGTCACTGACAAGTAAATTCCAAATTCTTCCCTCTTTAGCAATTTCTTCAAGCTTTTCTGAGCCTTTCTCAATAACTTTTGGCAAATCATTTCCATGTGAAATATGTTCTATCCAATCTGTGTTGTGAGGATTTAATATCAAGACGTGGTCTGCCTTCCCTCTTGCAGCAAAATGAGAAAACAAAGCAGGGCCATAAGTGATGTCAAGAACATTACATACACCATCTTTACATGGATTTTCATTGCCACTGCATAAATGCTGTTTCAGTTTCAAGGAGTTAACAGCTCCTGAGATGACTTCATCATAGAGGTTATTGAAGGGAGTGTCATTCAGACGCCGCATGTATGATGGTGGAATGATTGCCACAACCTCTTCATGGTCACTCTTGGTTGAGGGATTCATTATTATTGCAGCTTGACTCTCCCTTTGTGATGGTACAGCACTAACTTTAGATTCAAAAACTAGTTTTGTTGAGTTAATTCCACAAAAATTGAACTTCAGACAATCTTTGGAAAGCTCTCCATGGAGAGAAAGCATGTCTCCCTTTGAAACTGCAAATTTACAAGATGAATCAGCATCATTTGCATAAATGGGGAAAACTGCCTGCTCCCAGCACAGGGAATCATCTTTGGGGCCAGTTGAAAGAGTTATATCTTCATCTAGTAGCAAATCAAACCAGACTGCAACTGCATCAGCTTGACCACAGTGGGTTGCAGTGATTTCAAACTTCAAGTCCCTGTCCTTGTTCAAGCTACTAGGATTGTTAAAATCATACTCTGTCACTTTAAAGGGGCATGTGAGAGATGTAAATCCACCTCTTAACTGGTTCAAACTCTCTGTATTGTAGGGTTCAAGCTGATCAAATGCACTGACACTCACAGATGGTATTTCTACCTTTCGTTCCATTACCTCTCCTCCTATGCTACACTTGGGAAACATTTTTAATCCACTCATTGATGGTTTACACCTTGTTTGATTTCTGATGTCATCGCACATAATTACCATAGCATAAAGAACAGCACCACCAGGAATGACCTTAGAAATGGGTTTTACATTAGAGTCTGAGTTCTCTGGTGGGTGAATTAGCAAGTTAGACCATGCATGTTCTACAGTGGTGAGAATTCCTTCTCCAAGGAGACCACAGTCAAGTGTCTCTGTCACCACCAAAGAAACCTGCTTTGGGATATCCTTACCTACTGTCATCTCAGTTGATTTTTTATGTATGGTGTGAATCAACTTTTCCATGTTATTAGCCCTCAGTACATCGTGGCCCAATTCGAACATGGTCTTGGACATTTCGCAGGCATACACCTCTTTTGATCCGCTTTGAACAGCAAACATACTTAGAATACCAGTACCACTTCCAATATCCAAGACAATGTCATGGCCTTGGCCTATTGCCTTGGAAATGGCTCGTTTGTAGGCTGAATTTCTTTTCTTGTCATTTAACATTCTAAAATGCCACCTCTCAACCAAAAGATTTGCAACATTTTCAAGATTTTCTTTCGCTCTAATGCTTGTTGGATTTACATGTAATGCCCTTCTAAAACACGAAGCAACCTCGTCAGTGAAACCCAACTTGATCAAGTTTGCTCCTGTGTTAATGAGAACGATCTCACTTTGAGGATACAGCTTCAATGCTTCCTGAAGACAAATCATCATTTTATCCAGCTCGCCATGAGACTCGAGTATTTCTAACCAATTTCGTAAAGCGAGGACGAATTCTTCTTCCAACGTTTCTTTGAATGACGGTTCCACATTAGCCAGAAATACTAAATGTGCCAAGGCATCGCCGTACTGTTCACGACGAAGACAGCTCTTTGCAGCATGAAAATGCTGGGAGTAAGGAGAGTTTTCTTGCATTTTCGGTAACTTTTCCAAACTTTTATAGCTAAAATGAAACAATTATCCAGAGATTCATGAGGAAAGCCACGAATTCTTAGCAGAAAAGGGCGCTTCATTGATAGCACTAAAAGATGTCATCCTCGTCGCCATCATGCAGAAATCTGCTGTTTAACTGCGGGCGCTGTTATCAAAGCGAGGCTGAGCGCTAATGTTGCCATGGATATTATGTAAACTCTGAGCGATTTCAGGTTGTTTCCAGCTGGTAAACAGTGTACTATTGAACGGAGCGAACGATCATGACGGAGAATCATCCAAACCCGCTTGCTTTCATTCCTGACTATGTGGAGAGAAAAGGATCTCTCTTCTTACGGTCTGATCACATGGATTATGGCAGACCAACTCTTGTGTCCAACTGGTAAGTCGCTTACGAGCAAACGGCACTTGTCGCGTGCAGTCCGTTTCTTGATTATAACCAAACTATATGTAAACACTACTTTTGTTGTCACAAAAGAAAGGGGGAACCTATAATTCTTTTTACTTGACTTAAGGCCTATTAAATACTACATATGATTGAAAAAAGATCTGCATTTTCAATTGGTAACATGCTCCGTGGCAGGGAAGAGTGCGCGAGTTCCGATGCTGGTTTCGTGTGCATGTCGAAGTGAACGATGCATGTTTTGTTTGGAGAAAACTCTTTATGGGGAATTGTTCTATCTGTTATACATTGGCAAATTGCTTCAGCTCGAAATATTGAAAATATATCCATTTTTTTTCATCAAGATTTGTCAATTATTTGTTAAGTTGTACATAGCTACTTGTTATCCATTGTGACGTTTGCACCCGAAAGCTTAAAAGAGTAAACCTCCATTGATTTTAAAGTCACTAGTTGACCCCCAGAAATGATCTATACTTTCTATCCCAACCTTTCCAACATTTCGCGGTACTCTAGGACTTTCCTTGTCGCGAGTTTCAAATATTTAAGTCCGAGCATGTTTATACACTGTACTTACTATCTGAACAAAAATTTACAGCCGGCTTCAACTTTTACTGGTATTAATCAACTTTCCTAAACTTAACAGGCATCAAGCAAGGGAAGCTGAGCCCAAAGAATATGACATCAAAGATTACCAATCCGAAAAGAGGAACCTTCACAACTCCACATACCATCGCATTGGAAATGTCACAGATGGGGTGAGAACACTCGATTGGTTTATCAACATCTTTGCATACAAGATTCATGAGGTTTTGCAATCCCTTATTTTCATTTTTTCATGCCCCTTATTATCAAATTTGTATCTTTTAACATTTCTCTCCCTTTTCCTGTCCTTCCTGAGTCTTGCTTTCCTCACCTGCAACTCATAACCCTTCTCCTCCCATTCTGTTGGGCTAGGCTGCTCCCCTTCCCCCAACCCATGCCTCACCCCTTTTTTGATTTGCTAAGACTCTCTTTAATCTAAACTGTAAACATCTATGTTTTCTATATCTTTAAAATGGTAAGGTTGTAAATTTTCACTCATTAAGGAACTTAAGAGACTTTCTGGACCAAAGCTGTTACAAGGCCTGACAACATGATCTAACTTGGAATTTAATTGAAAACTTGTAAAGCCTGCAGGGATTTGCTTTATGGTGTGTATTTTGATCTAAGAATAAAATCAATGTACTTTTAAAATACTATTTCTCTCCCACAGTCTTTACCTGATACAACCAGTCATGACCAAATGGAACAAGCAGTGAAGCTTAAAAGTGACTTTGAAACAAGAGAAACAAGACGGCAGATGGTAGACATGAACACTTTTAAAAGCGTTAATTTCCAAAGGTGTGTAATCATGTAATTTAAAAATATATATTTACAAAAACGGTTTTCTTCATTACTCAGCTGTCATCATTCAATATTTAAGACTAAGGGATGACCTAAATGTACTTTGCAAACCAGTAATCCTTTTTTTTCTGGTGCGTTGGCACACATCAGTTTTGCCTGTCAGGTAATAATATTCATTTGGTATATGACAGTGTATGCTCATGCATATAAATTACAAATTAAATTATAGTCTATTGGCAGATCACTACATATCCAAGAAATTAAACAGGCAAATTTAAGTTATCTAGAACTTATCATATACAAGTGTAATTGTGTGGGTCTCGAAGTGCTTTTTGCAGACATGATGTTCATAAAATGTGGAATGATCATACAATTAAAGTTGTTTATATTTACTAACAAAAATTTTACCTTTTTGCAAATGATTTTATAGAAACAGAATCAAAGGGTATTAAGTTGTGAGGTTAAGAGGTTATTAATCCCTTCCATCAGATCCATGATGTAGGAATATTCAGTGAGTTGGGGTACTTATATATCTGGAATAAAAGTGTATTTAAGTTAGTTGGTTGTATTTTTACTTCTGATATAGAGATACTGGGGCACCTGAGAGAGGATTTGGTAGTGTTCTTCCAAGACATCCACTTGACCATGGAAAGAGGTAAATTGTTGTTTCTTAAATTCCACCTCTCCACCATGCCCCCTTGCAGCAATATGAAGCTTTGCCTAACTAGTGTCAAAGTATAAAAATTGGTAAAAATTCCCCCATAAAATTAAGCTCAAAACTGGTATATTTTGATGACTTCTCTTTCTTCGTTAATGCTTTCCTGATCTTTTGAAAACCATGCTCAAGATAAAGAACATAACAGTACCCGGTTTCAGACCAAATGATTGAAAAACCCCCACCTTGTGCAACGGCATAGCAGGTCCAAGGAGAGTACCCCCACTACTATTTCCCACCCCTTCCACCCACTGAATAAATATGTTGCGATAGAACGTTTCACTCGTGCATCGAGTCAATTTAGAAAACATAATGCGATTCAAATACTTCCATTTTATTTTTGATACCAAAGCGGAAAAAGCACATGCATGACTATGTTTAACTCTTCACAGGTACCTTGACACCACATATAGAGTGGATTACGACTCCCCGTACCCATATCAAACACAAAAGGTGACATACTTCACTAGATGTGATAAACATGATGTGTTCGAGATGCATGCATGTTACATTATAACACCCAAGTATTTTGCGTGTAATAACGTTCGCTTCGCACTGATTAGTTCACAACGTGTTAACTCTTCCCAGTTTCGCTCTTTCTTCGTTTTCGCCGTCGTCAGCAGCGACCTAAAGAACATGAGCATCACAGAAAGCACTCAGTGGGTTCAAAATCTGTGTTCTTGACATGATAATTTTTATTTCGTTAATTCTATGTTGTGATTGTCGAATTACGTTTGCTCTCGTTGAAATTCTCAAACGCGTATTAAACCACGCGTGTATAACGACAAATCCGAGTACGCGCGAGGCGAAATCGAGGCAAAGCCGAAGGTGCACAGTGATAAGTGAATTTTGCGCGCTTTCTAGGTCGTCTTTGAAGTCTTTCTTTTGGAGAAGGAAAGATCTAAATTGAAATGATCCTTTAGAGCACGTAATGGTTTCTTTTTTTGCGTGTCATATGGAATGTCTGCATGCCTCCAAGTTAAATCGTTAAAGACTGCACACACTTTGATACCACGAAAAAGTGATGAATTACTTTATCACTACAGTATCCCATAATCATTGAGGAATTCAACGAAGCCTTTGTTTATTTATTTATTAAACTATTGATTCATTTTTGTTACGAACCAAGTGGAAACACAAGCAAAAGTAATCGAAAAAATACGGAAGCAGTTTTCGAGTTCCAGCGCCAAAAAACAACAACCAAAAAAGAGAAAAACATTTAAAAAGGTTTTTCTCCTGATATGATTTCATTTACAGCAAGAGTTGAAAACTCCTGCTGTTGTGAAATCGATTCAAGAGAACTAAACAGAAACACTCAAAAAACTAATTCCAGGTAAAAATCATCAGTGATCAACACTTGTGATAATTTCTCTCTCGCGTTTGGTCTTTCAATATCTCCTGGTTCCTCACCAGACTCCTCCTCCAGAGCCCGATCAGTCTGCACTTTGGCGGAAGTGCCACTCCCAGTTTACCGACGTGGACGACTACAGACGACACGGAACAAACACTTGGCACGATGAGTCAGGAATTTACGCTAACACAGCTGTACGAGAGCATGTTTTACAACCCACAAATCCCATACCAGAACGACTTGGCTAATATGTATAAAGTTACTTAGGAGATGTTTTAGACTTTTTTTAATCATGATAAGCAAAGATTTTAATTAACAATTTTGTTTAAAAATTCACGTCTTCCCCTTTTCTTGTTGAATTGATAAACTAAAAATAAAGTGCATATTGAGACCAAATTCATTTGAATTTTTAGATTACTGTATTCGTTGTTCGGTCAATATAAATAATGGCAGTGGTAAGGGTTTATATAGAAAGATCCTTCGCTGCAATTCAGATTTGGGTTGACTGATCATTCAAGGAGCCTCCTCCTTGGAAAGAGAGAAAAAAAAATCGTACAATTTTCTGGCGCTCTGCCAGCCTACGCCCCGCCTTGTTTCAAGAAAAAGAAGAACTTGAGTCCTTAGATAAAACGAGTGTTAAAAAATTTGAAACAAGGAGCAATTATTGTCCAAAAATTTTTGACTATTTACATTTTCCTGCTTCTATTTTGTCTTTTTCTTGATAATGAACCACATTCAGTTACGTAACGTTTGCCACCAAGGCATTATGTTCTCATTCATCCTAGAAATAATCTGTTTTCAGAAAAGAAGGTTGAAGTTTTTCTTATATTCGGCGGTAAGGTTGTTGGCCAGGTCAGTCATTACCTCCAAGGAGTTTGTTAGAGATTGCAATTCACTGCTGATCGGGTGCCCGTCGCTTTTATCATCCAAGGAGTGACCTGAAAGACATAAGGAAATGTTGCTGTCAATCGTGGTCTTGTAGCCAGGTAAATGAACGTTTAATCGATTAATTAATTGTCGCACGTGCACGATATAAAGTCTTGATCAGGCTATCAATTAATGCAAGATGATTGATGGCGACAGGGGACGAGATCGAGATCAGCTAAAACCCTATCGATTAATTGGTTAAATACCACATACAAGCAAATTCATATTCTTTTCATAATGTAAAGTATTCCAATTGAATCATCTTTTTTTCTGATTTGTTGGAATATGGAGGGTGGGGATACGTAAAATGAAAGTCATAATTTTTCCTCTGAATTAAAGACACTAAGCATTACCAGAAACCTACACTATATGCATTTCCTTGGTTTAAAACTTACGGTTATAAAATCAATGAATATAAGGTTCAGCTGTAGCCTACCTGTTAGGACAACGTTCTTCACATTTTTCAGCGCATTGAATGCTTCATAAAGGCTTTTCTCTAAAGCGATTCCATTGCCTGATGGAACAGGATTACTGCCACTTTTTGACAGTGCCATGTCATGTAAACTTTGAGGAACTAAAATGGATTTCTCCATTTCCTCGACAGCATTCACAAACTGAAAGAATGAACAAGAAAATACTAGAAAATACTACAAATTAACAATAGAATTACTTTCGTTTTTCTTAGTATGCCTCTCCTGCACCCCGTTGCCTCGCCTCGAAATCGTTGTTGCTGTTTTCATTTTTCTCTTTTGCTGTACATTTCGTTCCTGAAATATGTCATATAGTTTAGGTCCGCTAAAAACGAGGGGAAATCATTTACTGCTATATCTGGTCATAAGGTTGATTTTGCAAGTACATGGTCTGTGTAATCAGTTTTTCAACATTACGTGATGAAGGCGTGCTTCTTGAGGCAAAGGTGACCTGATCGTAAAGGAACATGAAAAGTGTTATTGCTACTTTCGGAAAAGTCCTCTCAATCACCACTCATCGTGATCAAACATTCCGGCCTGTTCCATGGTACGGTCAACTTACAATTGATCATGCCCTGACAAACAAACATAGATAGTGCGAAGAATAATGGAGCTTTCAATAAGTCAGAAGCGGCCTGACATTCATACCATAGGTTCAAAATGTAGGGAAACTCTCGAACGATGACCATATTTCTTAATAAAGGAACTTTTGGCGAGTGAGTTCCTACTACTGGCTCTTACAATTCCCTTATAACTAAGAATACTACGAAACTTCAGAAACTGGCCACGCAATTCATGTGGATGCAGCAGAGACCATGGACAGTTCAACTGATTATCACAATGCAACATCGTACCTGTGAGAGAGTATTCATAACGCCTTTGGGATTCATAGCAAAATTTTTATGAAATACGGCGGCCCAACGAGGGAGTGAATGAATTTAAATATCTGTGCAGCAGTCTGAAGAGGTCCATGTCCCAGATATAGAAGAACATTAACGTTATATACTGTTCAATCTGTCAAAAATGCCACTTGGAGTGTGACAGAAAACATTCGCTCATTGCATGATCACTGCCGGTTAATACCCAGTTCTGCACCTATAGCTGGCGATTATATGAAATTGCAACTAAACGGGGAAGGAATCACTTTAACTTCGCCTACGAGAATAAACAATTCCATGGGCGACACGAAAAATATATTTTCCTTCCGTGCAAATTTCCTACGGGCAAAATTACTTGAATGAGAGTTGTTTTTAATGGTCCATTGTTACCGGATGTTTACGAGTATCATGACTCAATCCTACCAGTAGGCAAGGTGGTCTCATGTACCCCTGTGGACAAAATTACCTAGACGTGTGCCGCTCTTTAAAGCTTTTTGTTTATTGAAGTCATTGATGTCGTGGGTTGGGGAGACATGCGAATGCAATTTAAGTACGCAAGGCTCTAAGCTAGTTTGTCGACTTGGAACCTTCGCGGCTTTTTGTGAACATCGTCGAAAATAAGGGTTATCTTGCGGTGAAAACTCTCGCATCACAATCTCGAAAAGCGGCAGTGAATATAGGGATGAATAGAGGACTCGGTGGATTAATAATCGGAGATACTTGTTTCATTCGATCAACCGTGTTTTAATGGGCCTGGCGCTGTCGGTCCACCGTTTGCTAAACATTTTTTTTGCACTGTAGTTGGAGATACATTAAGTTTCTATAGCCTTCGCTGCGAAAAGAAACAGTTCCATTATCGACAGGATCGAGACACGCGAAAATATGGTCAATTTTTTCTAAAAGCATTTCGTGCAAAATCTCCAACAGGCAGCCTTAATGAAGTTTTGTTTTTTAACAATAGTCTTTTCTTTACTACGCCATACAAAATGCAGCCAGTCAGAATACAGAAACACCGATGTATCTTCCAACCTTCCCATCGTTGTCTGCTATCTTTTGACCGTTTACATTTTGAAACTAGTGTCATTTCCGGTTTGTTCTCGGCGTTCAACCTTGACAACTTAAAAATTTGCTAAGCACTCTGTTTTCTTTTTATGTGATGAATATTCAGTTTTAGTGTTTTTAGTGTTTTAAACAGGATACAGTAAGGGGCTAGTTCAGAATTAAATCTACGCGTATGCCTTATTGATGGTGTTGGCATTTGTTTTATTTCATCTTTTTTTGGAATGGTATAAAACAGTTTTGAAATACTTTTTCGAGGCACACTTCGGAATGTCCCTCTAGTCATTTAGAGGGGGTCATAATAGTCATAATACACACTCGACTGAAATCTTCTGGGTACACCAAAGATGTCCAAGTGACTCGTGGGATATTCCATCGTTTATCTAATCCAAAGCGTTTTGTGACTAGTAGGCGTTGAGATGTCTGTCAAGACATACAATGAGCTGTATCCAACTTCG